TGTCTTTGTGTAGCTTGACTATATTTTAGAATTATAAGCTGTCTGTATGTTCATTGGTGACCACTTTTTTGTGTCGATGATAATAACTTGCCCATTTAGAATTTAGTGACAATGTGTTGTCTGTGTTCCTGGTTTTAAATTTAATCTCTTAAAGTAAAGGGCGAATTCTTCTTCCGTGAGGATAAACGAAAAAAATATTGCTCCTTCAAAATCTGACAGTATTATGCTTTTTTGTCCGTTTTTCGTTTCTTTCTGTTGGTACATTCTTTTTTTTTTTTTTGGCACATTGTTTTATTGCTGCTGACAATTTCAGTGATTTTGTTATAACTGAGAATGATATGTTGGTCTCATCTGATAAAGTTTGTTAAATTCAATTTCTCTAGTTTTGAGGATGGAGCAAGATGTTGAGAAATTTGTCCGGGATCCTAAACAACAGCAACTTGAGTTTCAGCAGCTGCCAACCTCCTATTTACGGTTGGCTGCACACCGGGTGGCGCAGCATTATTCACTGCAGTCAATGGTTTTACTGGATAATAGTTTGCCAGATGGGTCTGGTTCCAAAATAATTGTCCGCAAGACTTCTGAGTGTCGGCTTCCTCCTATTCGACTTGCTGACATTCCTGTGAAATTACCTTCTGAAGACAATACAGTTATGAAAGTTGCCATCAAACAGAGGCCGCAGAAACATTCACAGGTTGCTAATAGCTCAAATTCAAGCTCAGTAAAGAGTAACAACTCTAAAAGTGTGGAGGAAAGGAAAGAGGAATATAATAAGGCCCGTGCTAGGATATTTAATTCTGGCAGCAATACTGGTAACGTTGGTGGGAAGCCTGAATGTGAAGCAAGGCAGCACGATAACTCTTTGCCTGTTTCCTTAGGAATTTCTAGGGTGGAGGATAAATCTCCTTCTGTATCTGATGCAAGCTATGGAAGGGGGTTGGTTGAGTGTTCAACAAATACCAGTAGGGCTAGAAGTAGGGCAGCAGAGAAGGAGCCAGCTGTTAGGTACAAGCAAGGTAGTAGGGTGGCTATTTCCGGGATCGTGAGACTGAGCGCAAGGATCCTGATTATGATAGATAGAAGCTATGATAGGTATGTCTTGTTTTTTCATATGCATGCTTGCTGGCATTGTTTATGACCTTAAGTCATTGTTTCCTCTTTCAAGAAAAGGGGTTATTTGGCCTTAGATATGAACAAACTGATATCTCTTTGAAACTGTTAGTAGGCATTTCATTTATTTATTTTTGTTTAATGTTTTTAGGTGTATCTTTCGTTGTGTGATCCATATAACCAACTCCACCTAGTGGGACTTGCTACTGAGGCCGTGCTTGGTGTCCATAAACTTCTTGACCAATGTAGTCAAGGATCCTGCATACATGATTTAGTCTAGTCTAGTCTGTGGTGTATTAGTAGTTAGCCAGCCACGAATTCAAATTTGTTAATTGACTCTGTTTCTATGTCAAATTCCTTCGTCATTATTCATCAGACTCATTTCTTATGCTTCAACAATCCATGCTTGTCTTATAAATCATCCACGCCATTTTTTTAGATGTCTCTTACCCTTGACGTAGTCACTGACTCACTGTGGAGTTTGTCTGATACTCATTTCATTGATTGTGATTAATAGAAATTACTGTGTTTTTAGGTTGTCTATAAGTATGTTTTTAACTTATCTATACAGTTTTTTAAAGAAAGTATGCACTTTGATGCTACATTGCGCATGCTGGATATATGGAAAAACTTATCGGAATTCAGAGTGGATCAGAATAAACTGCAGTTATCTGCTCTTCCTTCCCTTTATCAAGGCGTTATTGAAATATGTTCTACCAACATATGCAAAAGTTAGTAATGGCACAAGTCATGCAGATATGGCAGACAGATTAAAGCTGATTTTTAATGGAGAACATCTGCAGTTGTTTAGAGATGAACATTAACTTGTGGATAATTTGGCCAAATCATTGATATTTCGAAATCTATTGTTGAACAAACTGGTCAGTATAGTCCTGGGGTAAAATTGGGACTGATGACAGTTGGACCAGAAATAAGTAGTAGTAGTAGTCATTATAGCTCTGCTGTCAATTGAAGCCGAAACTTTAATCAGCCTCATGGTATACAGAAATGATGATGCAAAGTATGCTGGCACATTCGTTGAGTGAAATTAAGATAAATCCTCGGGTATATGAACTATGTAACAAAACTTTAGAGCCATGCTTATGTATTTCTTTTTAAAAGTTTTAATATTTGTTCCGAGAATAGTTGAAAGCCACGACTATGGAAGTTAAGTGCAGTATGTTTAGTTTGCTTAGGTTGTGATGTGTTCACTTGCATTCAGGTACATGCAAAGATTTGATCCTGGTTTTGGGTTCAATGGAGGGTCATACGCCATTCAGCCAATGTATACCCCTATATTGAATTACAACACTGAGTTTCCTCAGCTTGGATCTACACATGGACCTCAACTTTCTACTGAACATCAACCACGACCAATGCCCCAACATCTTCCTGGGCCATGGGCTGCCCCATCAACACCTGCTGGGATTGGGTATGGACATCCAGAGCCTATGATGTCACCATTCAGTCCCAATCAAGTTGGGGCTCACTCCTCATCAACTATGTTCTTGCATTCATCTCAGTATCCTTGTCAGCGCCCTGGGATGCCTTTCATCCATCATGAACATGTTCACCAGCCGTTTACACAGGTAAGCAACCCCCATGGTGTCCAACTTATAGTTGGTTAAATTTTGTTGAATGTTTTGGCAAAGTCTATGTCAGTGCGTATATGCATGACCAAGAGCTGTTTATTTTTATATGAACCAGTGTTTACTCGAAAAAAATATGTATGAACCAATGCCACATTAGGTATTTGAATTATTATTAGGATTTGATTAATTTCTTCTGACCACTTTATACTTGCTTCTTCAGCCTCATCAACAACCACCTGATGCGAGTTTTGGATTGGCCCGGCCCCGGTGAGGGGCTTGGGCCATGCCTGCGCCCAATCAGCCAGAGCTTTATGATGTAGGATGATGGGCTTTCCGTAGCTCCATTTTCACTTTAAGCTGACTGAAGTGCAGGCATGTTGGCCGAGTTGGATTGGAATGGACCTTTAATTCTGAAACACCACAATCCATTTCTCCATGCTCGGTTTTTGCAAGGATGCGTTTGCATCTTAAATGATTGATATTCCTTGTGGGTATTCAACTTATTTTGAGCTTATTAATTGCTGCTGCTGATGAAGAATGAGTTGAAGGTGTTTTCGGAGCTGAGGAAGAATGAGCTAGACTTCGACAAAGGTTTGTCCTGTTAATTGCCCAAGAGTACCTTGTAGACATGCTAAGCTGCAGTTTTCCATCTATTTCAAAAGTTCAATAACTTCTACATCTTAACATTGGGAGAAGTCATTTGAGTAATCAGAAGACGTTTGCCAGCTTAACTTATCACTAGCAAACTAGCAGTTCTAATTCATAGATTCTGAGTGCTTATTCTTCCCATTACTACAAGTTATTGCGTTTTTTCCCCCCTCTGAAATTTTCTGGAAATGAGTATTTGATTTTTCCCCATCTTTTCCTTCTTTAAACTGCAGCTACCCTCAGCGCTCAAGGAATTGCGATAAAAGAGCTCGGCAGGTCAATTGCTGCTGCGTTGCGGGAGCTTTGATGCTTGTCTAGCGGGAGTTGTTCGAGCTCCAGTTGCGAACTATAGATTTTACAGTAGCCCGGTGAATAATCCTTAACATGTACTATATATACACACAAACATATGGCGGACTTTTTCTGGATTTTAGATTGTATATTTAATTCGCTTTCTGCCATTCATTTGAATGTCTGTCGTCTATTAGTCGCATACTTACATTTCCGTTATGGGTATTTTTTATGCATGGATGTTGTAGCTAATTTCCGATCGCTTTTAATTGTTCTCTCACGAGGAAAATAGTTTTCCAACGGAAAAATAGTTTTCCGTTAGTGCGAAGTGCAGCACGGGTACTGAAAGCCTTTGAATGCAGTGATCTCTTCGGTATTCTCTGTTCCCCACTTACGTAATCAAAATCGAAGTTCCATCATATGGTATTGGTGGGCATGAGCAAGCCCCAGAGAGGGAAAAAAAGAAGATGAACGTAAAACATTAGCTAAACTTTGGCACTGGAAGAGAACTATTGGCTGCAAGTCGATTGTTTTAACTGTTTTCATGAAATAAATTAGCTTTTTAAAAAAAATTTACGATTTTTGTTTTTAACTTTTTTTTAGAAAGAACCTAAAAAGGTGTTTGGGAAGTCATAAAAGTGTTTTTAAAAAGTGTTTTCTAACAAATCATGATAAATTTATCTACATATTTATTTTGTAAATTGTAAAATTATTTTCAAAATTATAATTTACTTTCATCCAAACATCTCTTAAATCATAAAAAATCCTTTTAACTACTCTAAAAATAAATCAGAAGTTAGAATCACAAGTTGACGTTGTTTTTATTGGACTTCAGTACTAATTACAAAAGGAATGACTTTGAGACATCATCAAATGCATAAAAATATCAAAATTTAAAAACAACTAAATGATAAATCATTTTTGATAATTGCTACCAAACACAATAATTTTCGCTTTTATTAACTCCTTAGGTGATAAATAAATTTGCAAAAAATCTGTAAATTATCAAAAACACTAGTTATTTCTTGATTTTTTATGGTTATGCATAGATATTTTTTTATCAGAAATAATTATATTTAAGATATTGTTAGATACTAAATGTAAATATATTTTTTAATGAGACTTCAAAATTTAGTTTGTTATGGTATGTTACGAGAAACAAACCTTTTCACATAAACAAACGTGCGCTAGCCTGTTGTAGAATTTTTGACAATCTCGCCTTTCATCCTTCTGATGGCCCAAAGGGGCCAAAAAAAAAAAAATCGTTGCCGTTCAAAGTGTGGGCAAGTATCCTTCACAACAGTCAAATTCTCATCATTCATCAGTTTGCGGAACTGTGGCATAATCCAACAAAGAGAATAGATAATAGATAAACAAGACAATACAAATGCTTCAAGAATGCAAATAAAGCTTTATTGTCAAGAATTAAGCAGAGATCATGAAGTCCAATCAAATTTAGAACAAAAAAAAAAAAAAAGGAAAAAAATGGGAAGGAACGGAAAAAAAAAAGCTTAGTTCTGATTCACAACGAGCTCCAAACCGATTTAGATGCATAAAATTTTTTACCTTGAAGCAAGTTCTTATCCCCAACTTACCATATAAAAAATTTAATTTAGAGCAATGTTGGGGGATGGGTCAATGGAGCTAAGGACTGCGCACCTTATGAGCTCAGAAGTGAAGCGGAACTCTTTCATGATAATGTCATGGTACCAAAGAGATCAGGAAGCTCAGAAATTCGCACAGATCTTCTTGTTTATGCTTGAAAGGGTTTTGTTGAATGCCTTGAGAGGCTATGTCATGTTACCAACAAGAACCAACAAGCTCAGAAATCCACACTGATCTTCTTGTCTATGCTTGAAAAAGATTTATAGAACGCCTTGAAATGCTGGTAAGCTATGTCTACATCTTTCGTTCCACATATTTCTCTCACACTGCAATTGGAGGATTGATAACTGTTAGGAACAAGCCAAAGATTGAATGCAACAGCAAGCAACTAAAAGCAGCATTCTTTTAAGACTGAAATTTTACTAGAAATGATGAAAAATACACAGAATCTCAATGGGATCAAAATTGGTCACAGATAAAAAACATGCTCTTGGTTCTTAAAATTCAAGTGAAGGATGCCACACAAAAATAGAAGCGATCATCACTCCTGAAGTATGAATAGTGCCAACCAGTACTCTAGATGGGATTAAATCATGTGTTTATAACATTAAAGGACCTAATAGTTAAAACATGTATTGTTCAAGATTGATTGCTTACTTCTAAGGATCAGGGACCAAAATTTGATGCAACTTTTAGAGATTAATAAGGACATTTCCTCCATGAAACTATTGGTTATATTTAGTCTATGTCGAAATTTTACACAATGCTTATAAGTTGAAGCAAAAAGCATTTGATGCGTGTGCGTTTTTATTGAAAAGAGATACCTGTGCATTGAGAGTTGACCAATTCCACAATCAACAGTTCGGATGCCAACCCCAGATGCAAGTATGGGACCTATGGTCGATCCACATCCCATATCATTTCTAACCACAAATTCCTACATTAAAGGGAGACAAATATTTACTTTTATATGTTTCAATTAAGTACAAAACTCAACGGCATACAAAGAAAACATATATATGTCACATTATCAATCATCCTGCAACTGAAAAGGCACATAATTTCTTCCTGTATAATGATTTAGAAACTTGCTTTCAGACCTGCAGTTTCTTTGAAAATCCACACATAAATCAAGCGCCTTAGCTTCAACGGCTGAATGCCAAATCCCCATTATAGAAAATTATAAGGAAAATGCTTATCAAAATGTATCAAGAAGAAAAGCAGATGAGAAAAGCAAATTCAAACAAACATTTATAATCTTCTGAGTTTCAGGCTACCAAGTCCTGGATGGCCAATATCTAGAATTCCTTTTGGATTGGCACTTTTTATTTTTTGATATGCCAATCGGTTTTTAGAAGCCATGTTGGCCTGTATAATTCAGATTGAGTGAGGAGGGACCACATTAGCATAAAGCTTATGTTAAGAAATTATGAAACTTTCAAAAAGCTTTACACACACATGAATTCACCTGAGTTGGAAGGTTATGGATTTTTCCGACTTCCTTAAAAAGAAAAGATGTTATTCCACTGGTAGCATAGCGCTGGTTTGCATTGTGCTTGATGACAAGTCCTTTTTGCAATTCAGGTCGATGATGTTCTTCATGCTTTTCAGTAAAATTTGGGTGAACTCCATGGGCCATGTCTGCAGACACTATTAGAGGGAGAATGCAAAAGATGCTTTAGCAGTCCCATCCAAAAAGCTAAATTACACAACAAATATAGGATACTTCTTGTTCATAGAATAGAAATAATATAAATACAATTATTCATGCATATATTCCTAACTCAAGAAAGGAATATCACTAGTATATTATAGCATGGTCACTAGTGGCACACTATGGCTTGTAGCTCCAGACAATCCCAAGTGCGAATGATTTGAGTGATTTTACGAAGTTTACTGCTAGATATACTCAATCCATCCTTGGAAGAGTGAATAATTAAGTGCCCATTAATATAACAGGGTTTCGATGAAGATATTCCAGTGCAGCCACAAATTTTTATCATTATTATGCTCTTCATCCTCCTTTTGAGCCAGCCACTTAAATTTTGTCTTGTGGTTGAAGATATTTATGTGACTTGGTATAGATGTAGCATTAGCTAGGATCTGAGGTGTCTGCCTGTGTAATGTGTTTGCTTGGTCGCAATCCAAATACGCTTCAGTGATAAAGAGGGGCAGCGGCATCCTCCTCTTTTATGCTTTTAATAAGGTTGGTGAACGAACAACAAAACCCAGAAGATGAACTTGAAATCGAGGGATTATTTAAGGGTAATAT